TGCTGTCGAGTCAAACCCGACTCATGGCGACCCTTCCTTGGGTTTCCAAGGCAGTATCACTACGGAAGTAGATTGCCCCATCTTCCTTCCGAGGAGTGGCTGGTGGGTTTGAACCGTCAGCCTTCTGGTTTAACAGTCAAGTGCCTTAGGCACTATGCTACCAGAGCTCCTTTTGACACATTAGAATTCTTAATTTTTAAAATGGCATTATAGATCAACAGTTATTTACAGAAAACATCATATCACAAACTAGAGCTTGGAGGATAGCTGACAATTTTAAGATTCCATAAGTGAAATGTATTAAAAATAGTTTTATTACACAAAAACCCTTAACATAGTAAGAAAAGTTACAAACTTTTACTTCTACATTTTAAAATGCTGGCAGTATATAACATTTACTTATGAAGATATGTATAGGATTATACTCTATCTTTATATTTAGGGTACACTGATTTACAACTTCTTTTCTCTCCTTACCTTTCTTATATACTATTTTTTAGTCCATGGCATATGTATTTCCATGCATGTCACTACATAACTATATTCACAGTTTTTCACACATCCCTTTCAAGCTCCTTTAATTTTCAATCACTGTTCATATACGCAATCTATTAATTGTTAGAAACACCAATGTTTGGTTAAGAGTATAGAAAGAAAAAATAACTGTGCTTTAGAGTCACTAATGCTCTATAAAATAAAATGCTCAATAAAACCTGGAAAATTATACTGAAGTGGGTTAATGATATAACTATTACTGATCTGGGGCCTACATATAGCTTTTAAGAATATATCCTTTTTTGAAGTTCTGGTAAGATGGCGGAATAGGCAGAAAGACTGCAGAGACACTCTTCAAAAAGAAAAGGGGACCCACACAGATACAGAAGATAATCCTGGACCCCTGAGCCTTGAAGGGAAACATATAGAAGTAGACTAAACTCCAACTAGCAGAAGAATTTCCACAAAAACATCATAAAAGGAGACATACAGAGCTGCAGTCTGGCAGCAATCCTGACGACACACACAGCTTGGGCATCACCGAGTGGCGGTCTAGGACCTAAGAATTAACCTAAAATCAGCACTACTAGCCAGGGACTACACAGAGGACTGCTCTGGTAGCTGGGGAATAAAAGGGGAAGCAGCGACAAGGAAGGCCGGCTGAGCTTAGGTGCCGAGGGTGCAGACATTCTGAATGTTTATAAGCAGCCTGACCATTTCGGGTATTTAAAGCAACAGCATTCTCCCAGATTCCAGGGACTTAAGAACATACTCCACTTGCCGGGAACCACAAGGACATTCTAGACCAGACGACTGCAAAGGTACGACATTCCCCTTGTTACTCTTACACCCTATACCCTCTTGGTGAACTGAGGTGCAGCCATGCCTCACTCAAACCACTTTCTGGGCCAGCAGGAATTCCATCCCAGTTTGCATGCTAGGATGGAGCCTGGGTACCCTGTCCCGCCCTCCCCCAGTTTTTTTTCCTTTTTTTCTGTTTTTTAGTTAGTTTGTTTCAAAACTACTATTATTATTATTACTTTTGTCCTTTTTACTAAAATTCTTTATTCGTCCCCTCCCAGGTTGTACTTTTCAGCTTTTTTTCTTTTCCCTGTTCCTGGATGCAATTTTGTTTTTTCTTTCTTGTGCTTAACCCCATTCCTTGTTTCTCTTTTTGCATTTTTCCCATTTTTTCTTCATTATTCTCCTTATCTGTCTTTTTTGACTAATTGCCCTCTCCCCAAATATTGCAGAGTTGTTTTTTGTTTTTTTCTCTTTTTTCTTTTGGTCTTCTTTTTCCCATTTTTCTTTTTTTGGTTACTGTTCCTGTGTGACTAGATGGTGTATTCTTTGTCCATTTGCTTTTACTTTTTTGATGGTTATTCAATAGTAATTTGTGTCTAACTGAGTGGAAGACAGCAACAGTCCCCATACGACACAACAACAACCACACCTCCTGCAGCTGCACTTATTGAGTGAGAGCCACCACTTCCTTCTCCACCAAAAGCCCAATGATAAACAACCACCAAGAAGACCCCGAATCACCCTTGGCTTCTCTTCACAAACAGTTAATAGAAATCTAAATACAACAATGCCATGATGTCTCTGAGACAAGAGACCATCACAGTCCACACAAAGAAGCAAGACAAAGTGGTAGAAATAAGGGAGCAAGATACAACCTGGAACACATCCCTGACTGGAACTCTCTGATAAGGAATTCAAAAGAATTATCTTTAGGTATCTTTAAAGAATTGAGAGACAGACCAAGGAAAACACAGACAAAACACTAGAATAATCCTGGAAGAAAATACAAGAACAAAATGACAAAATAAATGAAAAATTAGAAATGTTTCTAAATCTACAGATAGAAATCCAAAAGATTAATACTAAATTGTCAGAAATACATAACACATTGAAAGGGCAAAGGGGAGAACTGATACGATGGAAGACAGAATTAATGAGATGGAAGAAAAATACCTGAATACTTCTTTGGAAAGGGATCAATCAGAAAAAAGATCAAAACAAAATGAAGAAAGCC